TTCAAAAGTTGGAATTAGAAATACCATTTGATCCAGCCATTCCATTACTAGGTATATATTCTAAAGAAGTGAGAGCCATGACAAGAACAGACATATGCACACCCATGTTCATCACAGCACTATTTATAATAGCCAAAAGATGGAAACAATCTAGGTGTCTATCAACTGACGAATGGATAACCAAACTATGGTACATACACACAATGGAATACTATGCAAGCCTACAGTATTGTAGAATCTGCAAAACACCACATAACGTGGATGAACTTGGAGGATATTATGCTGAGTGAAATAAGACAATCACAGAAGGACAATATTGTATTAGTCCATTATTGTAAAAGGCAAGGAAAGGTTTATCTACAGAAGGAAATTTTCTTTGTTGGTTACCAGGGGTGGGAGGGGAGGGAACACTGTTAGGTAGAGATAAGTATTGATTTGGGTGAATAGAAGGGCAATGTACCAAATGTGAATGATCAACATGATGGCATTGAGGAAGAGGAAGACATAGAGAGGTACATTGGAGGCACAGACAACAAAGATGAACCCTTTTGTACACAGTATTGTGTTGTCAGTAAAGGCAAACATGGGTATACGGGTGAATAGGTGGGTGGACAGGCTGAACTATTAGGTATGTTTATGAAGTGGGGAGTGTACCCAAGACCATGTATAGGGTTGGCAGACAATGGTCCTATAAGTGTATTTGTATAATCTGTAAGAATTCCCAGGTGTATAGTAGAGCTGACAAGGGATAAGCTGTAGTCACTTCTTGGTCACAGCCAGCTACCCAAAGTGACTGAGTAGTTGAATCAGTGGGCTCAGGACCATAGTCACAGGGGACATCAAGCTCAATTGGCATAACAAACTACACAAAACATTGTTCCACCTCCTACTTTGGTAAGTAGCAACTGGGATCTTAAAAGCTTGCAAGCAGCCATCTAGATGGAACGATGGGTCTCTCTTCATCCAGAGCAAAGAAGAATGAAGAAAACCAAAGATTCATGGAAACAATTAGTCCTGGTGACTGGTACACCATGTGATCCACAGCCTACATGACAATGAGACCAGAAGAACTAGATGGTGCCTGGCTGCCACTGTCAATCACTTAGAGGGGGATCTATGTAGGAGATCCTGGATAGAGAGGGAGAACAATGTGGACAAAACTCAAAATCATTTGGAGAAAAAAAAGGGGGGGAACCAGGTTTGCTGGTCTGATAGAGCCTGGTGGAACCATTGAGACTATGGCCCCTAGCTGCCCTTCAGGTCTGGAATTGAACCCACGCCTGTGGCTTCCAGCCAAACAAAAGACAGGCATATGAATCGAACATTTACCTGAGGTAGGTACACTCCTTAGAGAGAATAATCATGGGAGGAAGAAGGGCTGTTTATGTACAGGGAGAGAGCTCAGGGGGCAGGAGTGCATGGAGGGATGGACACAGGGAAGACGTAACTATTGGGAGGAAGTGGGAGAGGTGCTGTTGCATTGGGGTAAATTGTAGTCAATGTCATGAGACAAAGTGTATGTGAACTGTTGCATGGAAAGCAAATTTGCTCTGTAAATTTTCACCCAAATCACAATAAAATAAATAACATAAATAAATAAATAAATCTTCCAACCTCCATCCACTATTCAGTTCAAAAACCACTTCTACATTTTAGGTATCTATTAGAATAGCACCACCAACCTCCACCCCCACTTCTTGGTACCAAATTCTATCTTAGTTATCTTGCACTGTTATAACAAAAATACCACAAATGAGTGGTGTTAGCAAACAGAAATTTACTTTCTCACAGTTGCAAACTAAGCTCACTGCCATTGAGTCAATTCCCACTCATAGCAACCTCCTTTGGGTTTCCAAGGCAGTAAGTCTTTGCAGAAGTAGATTTTTCACTGAGTGGCTGGTGGGTTTGAACCACCAACCTTCTGGTTAGCAGTCAAGTGCCTTAGGCACTAGGCTAGAAGTCTGAATTTAGAGAGCTGGCTCTAAAAGAAGGCTTTCTCTCTCTGTCGGCTCTTGTCTCTTCAGCTTCTGCTTCCTGGTTCTTTGGAGATCTCTGTGGGCTTGGCATCCATCTTCCCCATCTCTGCTTGCTTAATCTGCTCATTTTAGATTTTGAAAAATTTACTCAAAACACACCCTACGCTAATCCTACCTCATCAACATAACAAATATAACCCATTCCCAAATGAGACTATAACCACAGGCACAGAGGTTAGGATTTACAATATATTTTTGGGATGCACAATTCAATTCATAACAGGACCCCAAACTAGTCTGGGCTCTAAGGTTGTGTTTCTACTTTCAGGACTCCGGAGGAGAGGCTCTGATCCAGCAAGTGGTAAATACACAAGCTCAAAGAGGAGAGCAGGAGGTGGCCTGGATTCCAGGGGGTGGGGGTGGGAGGATGGGGGGATGGGGAGGGCCACAGACTGGCTGAGAGGCTGGATTGGTTCAGCAGAGAAGCATTCACCAGGCAAGGGTCACAAGGATTCAGGCAAGGGACCTCCAGGCTTAGAGGAAACAGAAAACAGATTGAGATCTGTGAGGAAGGAAGGTGTTCATGTGGACCCCAAGGACAGGCACCCACACCTTCACAGTTTTGCCTTGACTGGGCCTGCATGAGTGCCCTCTGACCCAGGAAAAAGAACCAAGAGATCAATTCTCAATGAATGAGTCAGGGAAGAGAAGAGACTCTTCCCACATCACAGTTAAATGCTTGTCTTTCTCTTGTTGCTAAGGAGAAGTGGAGGCTGCTCCATTAAGAAGACTGAATATCAAGAAAGATGGTAAGGAAATTAGTGTTGCAAGCCTGCTTCTGTCTGTCTGGAGCCGATTTCATGACATTGCAATCCCCACAATGTAGCAGCCCTCTTCCCACTTCCTCCCCATTTACCATTTCCTTTTGTCCTTCTTTCCTATTCCTTCATGTCTTTTGAGCTTAATTCCTGGGCAAATGCTGCCCTTTTGATCTAGTACGGTTGATTGTTCTAATGGGTATGTACCTCCCTGGTGTTATTGTTCACCTTACAGTCCTGTCTATTGTTTGGCTGAAAGTTGAGTGGGGGTGGGGGGGTGAGATTTCTATGGGTGGAAAGTCAACTGGAGGCCTAGAACAATTATCTATCACCCCTGTCATGTGCCCTACATGTAACCTCCTCAGTTTAGAATCACCTGGAAAGGTTGGTACAGTTATTCCCATTTTGCAGATACAGAAACAGGCTCAAGGATGAGGCATGGTTTTATAGCGAGTAAGGCAAGCAGACCTGGGCTTGACCCCTGTTCTGTGCTCTCTGCTACACACAGAGTCACAAGGATTAAGCCTTGTGGCAGGATGGGGATGGGGGGGGGGGCTAGAAATGGGCCTGGCTAAGGCTAGAACCATGAAGTCAGACCAGACTAGACCCTAGAAAGGGAGCCATAAGAACTGGAGGGACCACAGCTGCTCCAGGCCTAGAATCTATGGGTGCCTCAGGGAGAAAGATGAGGGTGGGAGGGGAGACCATGGCTTGTTTTAGTTTTCAAATACACTTTATTAGAGCAATTTTAGATCTAGAGAGGTTGTGCAGAAAGTTCAGCAAGTTCTCATTTCTCCTCCTTCCCTTTGCATACTGTTTCTCCTATTATTAACATCTGTATTCATTTTGTTACAATTGAACCAATATTCATACATTACTATTAACCATACTAATGCAAACTATTAGGGTTCACTCTTTATGTTGAAATAGTGTCATGTGTCCAGGATTATAGTATCAAACGTAAGAAATCCACTGCCCTGAAAATGCTCTGTGTGCCTCCTGTTTATCCCTCCTCCCTTTCCCTAATCCCTTGGCAACTATTGGTGTTTTTCACTGTGTCTATAGTTTTGCCTTTTCCAGTATGTCATACAGTTGGTATCATATAGTACATAGCCTTTTCAGACTGGCTTCTTTCACTTAGAAGTATGCATTTAAGTTTCCTCCATGTCTTTTCATAGCTTTATAGCTCATTTCTTTTTTTATCTCTGAATAATACTCCACTCTGGAGTAGTGCCTAAGGCATTTGACTGCTAACCAGAAAGCTGATGGTTCAAACCCACCAGCCACTCCTCGGAAGGAAGAAGGGACAACTACTTCCTCAGTGATAGTGCTTTGGAAACCCAAGGATGGGTCACTATGAGTTGGATTTGACTTGACGGCAATGAATACTCCACTGTATGGTTGTACCACAGTTTGTTTATCCCTTAACCTATTGAAGGACAACTTGGTTACTTTCAATTTTTGGCAGTTATGAATAAAGCTGCTATAAACATTTGCATGCAGGTTTTTATGTGGACATAAGTTTTCAGTTTATTTGGATAAATACCTAGGAGTGTGATAGCTGGATTGGATGGTAAGCCTATGGATAGGTTTGTCAGAAACTGCCAGATAGTTTTCCAAAGTGGCCATAACATTTTGCATTCTTACCAGCAATGAATGGGAGTTTCTATTGCTCCATATCTTTGACAGCATTTGATGTTGTCAGTGTTTTGGATTTTAGCCTTTCTAATAGGTGTATCATGGTGTCTCATTGTTGTAATTTGCAAATACCTAATGACATATGATGTTGAGCATCTTTTCATATTCTTATTTGCTTTCTGTATATCTCCTTTGGTAAGGTGTCTATCGAATCTTATAATTAACTTGTTTGCTTTCTTCTTTGTTGAGTTCTCTGTGTATCTTGCATACAATTCCTTTGTCAGTTAGGTATTTTGCAGATATCTTCCCCCATTCTATGGCTTGTTTTCACTCTCTTAGGAGACCAAGGTTTTTGATTAAACAAATGTCAGTTGTTCTAGAAACATCTTAGATACTTGCAAAAGAAGTGGGGGACATGAATCTGAGCCACTGGTTCTACTGTCCAGCTGGATAAACCAGAGCATGCTCATTAACTTTTCTGGACTGTCAAGCAATGTTCATTGGACTGAAACTGAGATTCCCAAAGTGCAGGATACATCCAAGGAAAGTCCCCTTTCTACCCTCTTTCTCAGAGGACAGTCTCAGTTTAGAGCTCTGTGCCTTCAATGCTGCCCAGAGCCTTGTTAATTGCACTTTGGAACACAGACAGGGCAAGCCTCTCCCTGTATTCCAGAGCCTTCTACAAACACCAGTGTCTGGCTAGAACTTAACCATCTTGCTTTATTTTCACTGTGTTTGTTTTTATAACAGGGAGTCCAAGTGTCCCATTTACTATTGTGATGTAAAGTTTCCTTTTTAAAAACTTTATTTAAGAAAAAGGAATCTATTTAAAGAAAAATGTTAAGTATATAATATTACAGATAGTACTTGGATTAGCACTAAATGGTGAAGGTGGTAAGCAGTGGTACATGGAGATGGCAAACATCACAAAGGAGGTGTGTGGATTCAGAATAAGCCTGGACTAGAATGATCTGTAAGTTCTGTCTCCCACTAACATGTAAGATACAATGAGTCCAACCTCAGATTCCTTATTCTGGCCTGATCTCTTTTTTAAATAAATTGGTTTAAAGAGACTTAAACCTGACACTCCTTAAACATTTAGTCTAGGTCTGAGTAATATTCTTTTTTTTTTTTCCCCTAAATGATAAGCTGACAGTGGTTAAAGTGCTTGGTTAGAGGTTGAAATCCACCAGCCACTCCCCAGGAGAAAGATGAGGCAATCTGCTTCTGTAAAGATTTACAGCCTTGGAAACCCTTTTGGGGAGTTCTACTGTATGAAGTCACTGTGAGCTGGAATTGACTCAACAGCAGTGGGTTTGTTCTTTTGGGTTTGGGTCCATGATAATGAGCCCCACAGACCTACAACTCCCTGCAACTTCAGGGATTGTAATGACCAAAGGCTGGGGGCTCTATCTCTGTGGAAGGCCTAGCTTCCTGTGGATTGCCCCAGCCAGTGATTTAGCAGAGAGAGAGACTATGGCAGGCCCCATCCTCGGAGCCATAGGACCCTTCTGAGCCAAGAAAGATATTAGAATAATCATTTTGATTTTTCTTAAGAAACAAAAACAAAACAAAAAGACATCTCTTTCTCATCTGCATTCATTTGCCATCAGTATCTTCCTTGACAGCAGAGAAATTCAGTATCCCGCTACCTTTTGCCATTTACAAAGCGGTTTCCCATTAAGATCCCCATCAGTCCTCAACGGACATAAAGGTTACTCTCCTCATTTTGTCAAAGAGAACACTGAGGCTCAAAGGGGTTAGGGCACTTGTTCATCAGTGGCTAAACTGACTGAACTTGGACACATTACCAACTGCCTCAATACCCCAGACAGGAGCCTAACGCATTCTGGGGAGGCTTCTCTAAAGCATCCTCTCTTTTTCTACAACCTTGTTTGCATCTCCTCTAATCAGTTATTTGACTGGGCCCTAAGGCAGCAAGTGTTCTCCCTCCATGACCTCCACAGTGCCTGGCTAAGTGCAGTGAGGCCTCTTTTAAGATGGCCCCTGAATTTCTGCCCCAGCACAGGCCCTGCCTCTCCTTTTCTCCCCGTTCCTCTGTTAACTATGTGAACCCTCTAGCCTACAATTCCACTTACAGGCATCAGGCCTCCAGAAATAGCACACAGATGCACCAAAGTTCACATGTAGTGATGTTTGTGCAGCATCAGTGGTAGCAGCAAAAAAAATGGACACCTCTAGGTGCCCTGGATGGAGCCCTGGTGGCACAATGGTGAAGCATTCAACTCCTCACCAAAAGTTGGCAGTTGGAACCCATGAGTAGCTCAGCAGGAAAAAGACTTGCGATCTGCTCCCATAAAGATTACAGCCTAGGAAACCTTAGGGGGCAGTACTACCCTGTCTTATAGGGTCACTATGAATCTGAATCAATTTGGCAGTACACAACAAGAGCACTGGTGGCACAAACAGTTAAGCTGCTAACCTAAAAGTTGATAATATAAACCCACACAGGGGAAGAAAAACCTGGCAATTAGCTTCTGTAAAAATTACAGCCCAGAAAACCCTATGAGGCAGTTTTCTGTCACATGGGGTCGCTATGAATTGAAATTGACTCAATGGCACCTAACAACAACAAAGGTGGTGCAAAAGGTTTGCTCTCAACTGCTAACCTAAAGGTTGGGGGGATCAAACTCACCCAGTGGTACTGCAGAAGAAAAGGCCTAAGCAAACCCAATGGAGCAGTTCTATTCTGTAACACATAGGGACACCATGAGTTGGAATTGACTTGACAGCAACTCACAGTTACATAAATGGTTGTTGTTAGCTGCTGTCAATCCAATCTCAACTCAAGCTGACCCCATGCACAACAGAATGAAATGCTACTTGGTCCTGTGTCATCCTCATGATCAATTGCAGATCAGACTGTCGTGATCCATAGAGTTTTCACTGGTTGATTTTCAGAGGTAGATCACCAGGCCTTTCTTCCTAGTCTACCTTAGTCTGGAAACTCCACTGTAACCTGTTCAGCATCATAGCAACACATAGCCTCCATTGACAGATGGGTGGTGACCATGCTAAAGGTACACTGGCTGGGAATCAAACCCAAGTCTCCTGCATAGAAGGTGAGAGTTCTACCACTTAATCACCACTGTCCCTCACATCAGTGGCAGACCAAATGAATAAACTGGGCTAAATTTTATACCACAGAACAGTAGGCAGCCATAGAAAAGGAGAAGGCAGATCTCTGTATTCTGAGGTGGAAAAATTGCCTGATCTGTCAACAAAAGGGAAAAAAGCAAATTATAAAGCAGCAGCTATACAGATTGGTCCTATTTTTGTTTTAAAAATGCACATATGTATACCTGGAAAGGTTTTGCTAACCACTGATCACTTTTAGGAGTGGATTGGGAGGGAGAATGGGACAATATGAAACATCTAAGTTACAACTGATACTTTTGCATTTGTTTATAGTTCCCTTTAACATTCATTCCATAGATAAAAGTATTGGGCACCCATGCATGCCAGCCCTGCTCTAACTAACTCACTATGCCTACTCTATTCCTTGGCATTCATCCAGAGAAAGCCTAAAATCCTCAGCCACTCAGGAGTTGGCCTCCCACTGGGGGAGACAGAGAATAAGCACAGAACAAAATATAACACGTTGCTGTTACAAAAATAATAAAATGAGATAAGGGCTGGAAAGTGGTGGAGCCTGGGTGCTATTTTAGTTTGGTGGTCAGGAGCAGTGTCTCTGAATTAAATTGCATTTGAGTAGAGACCAGAATACGTTTTGTAATTAAACAAGGGAACGAAACAAATAGTACCCCCTCACCTCTACTTTTACAGACGAGTTTTTCCACTTCGTCCTCCTCTGCTTTGCCATTGGGGCTTTGCTAGTGTGTTATCACTATTACGCAGGTGAGCAAAGGGTTCTTCCAGGCGTCACAGTGGAAGAGGGACCCCCCGGGTGGGGGTTGGAGGGGCACGCCCCCTCCCCACCCACAAGAAGAGGAAGTAGCAGTACGGGGGGAGGAGGTGACAAAGACTTGGGGGACAGCTACGTCGGGGGAGGGGTGGAGTACAGGAGGAACGGGGGAGGAAAGGGGGCAGGAGAGGCAGCAGTGTGTTGGGGGGAAGTTAAGAAGGAGAGCACGCTGGCACCCGGAGGAAGCCCGACCCAGGATGGAGTAGGGGGCAGATATGGGGGAGCGGGCAAGGGGAGGGGGCAGCGAGGGAGAGGAGGCCCACAAGGGGAGGGGGCCTGCACGGTGAGGGGTCGAGCAGCTGCAGTGGTTGGGGGATAGAATGGCTTGGGGAATGGGAAAGGCATGGGTCACAGCTTGGGGAGGCGTGGAGCACTGGGTTAAGGGCAGCATGCATGTCCGGGGTGTGACCGTCTGGCTGACCACGCTATCCCTTGGCTTCCCTTCCAGACTGGTTCATGTCCCTCGGGGTGGGTCTGCTCACCTTCGCCTCCCTGGAGACCATTGGCATCTACTTTGGGCTGGGTAAGGTCTACCTACCATATCTTTGTGGGCGTGGCTGGACTGGCCAAGATGCTTGCCAGGGACCAGAGAGTGGTCATGACCTAAACTTTTTTTTTGTTTGTTTAATGTCGTTATGCTCGTGCTTTCTTCCTGACCACTGTCAAAGTCAATTTAAGACAACTGAGGAAACCGGGTGGAAACATTAGGCAGCTCCAGAGAAATGCAACAAAAACAGTTTAAAGTGACAAATGGAATGATCCAGATGCCTAAAATAAGCTAATTAGTGGTACTGGGTGTTGAATTTAGCCCAGTTCCCTGCCCTTGTTATTGTGGTTCTTATTATCCTTAATAATAATAACTATTATCTAAGCTCAACCCCCTGCCTGAAATTTCATCATTAGAGCTTTGTTTGTGTGGGGTCAGCTTTGTCCAGGGTGGACGGGTTGGAAGAATGTGATCCCAAAACACTCGAAGAGGCACAAACCTCAACTCCCCTTTCTCTTTTGTTTCTGAACAGTGTACCGGATCCACAGTGTCCTGCATGGCTTCATCCCCCTCTTTCAGAAGTTTAGGTTGTTGGGTAACTTTAAAATTCTTCCTCTTTTCATTCTTCCTCTTCCTACCAGTCTTCTGTTTTGAACAAGACTTAGCAAAAAGGAGCACAGAATCTGGAGTCAGTGCCTTGCATTCAAGTCCTGCCTCTGCCAATTCACCAGCTCTCTGAGGCCCTGTAGCCTCTTTCAGCCTCAGTTTCTTCAAGTGAAAAATGGGTATAATAACACCTACGGCACAAAGGTGTTGTGATGGTCAAATGAGGAATGGATGCAAAAGTCCTTAACTGTGAGGCACAGTATAGAAATGTTAGGAAACTGGCTATTCTTCATTCACTCATACTTTACATGTTTTCAAACATTATCTTCTCCATGATTTTATTTACCTCATACCAATTGGGGAGGTGACTGTAGTTTGCTTATACTTAACTGATGAGGAAACTGAGACTCACAGAGATGGAGTGACTTAGGTCACACAGCTAGAGGAGCTGATCTGGGCAAAAGTAGATATTCTTTCTTGATCTGAAGCTCTATGCCCATGATTATGCTGCAAAACAGAAAGTTCAGGCGACTGTGTGTCTGTGCTGAGGTGTTACCTACATGTCACCAAATCATCAGGCCAACTTCCTCCATCTAATTAAATCCATTTAATTAATAAAAGGGAAATTGGCTATAATGGCTATGGGTCATGAAGACCTGGTCTGGGTTAACTACATTATTCCAGCTGTGAGCTGGTGTTTGGGCATCTGGGGGGAGTGTGGGAATGAAGCCTGGCTCCTTTCAGTATCCCGTGCTATCCTGCAGGTTTGCCTTCCAGGGTTCAGAAGGACTGATTGAGGCCATTGCCAGGAAGGCAGCTGGGCCAGTCTGACCACTGCTGCATCCCCTGAGCCCATGAGGACTGAGCGATGTGTGGGAGCCATGTGGGCATGCTGAGCTGAAGCAATAAAGAAAGCACTTTTCTTCCCATGTGATCTGAACGTTGGCACTGACCTGGGGGACGAGTCATCATTTGGGCAGTGTTGGCATGCAACCCAGTGGTCAGGAGGGAAGGCAGAGGATGGGCAGGGGTGCCTGTGCCCCTCCCAGCACCTGAATCAGCAGAAGGACACTGGGAAGCCCCATCTCTCAGGAGACAGTAGGAGACCCTTAGGCCCCACAAGCTGTAATCTATCTGGGCTCATGATTTCTCTCAAATCCCTGGTCCATCTCTATGATTTTAGGTCCTACAAAACCATCCCAGGAGAGATAGACAGTACACTACCCTGAGGCATAGAGTCACCAGGCCAGGCCCCTTGGGTGACCCTGATGCAGGTGAGGTGTTGTAGACTGGAGTCACAGCATCCAGACGTCTTCCCTCAGTGCCTCAGCTTCACTGCCTCAACTCTATCAAGATTCAAATAAACATTCTTTTCCCTGGACTAAAGAGAGTCAGCCAAATATTCTTTTGGGTTCTTGACCCCATCTTGTCAGGGAGGGTACCTTGTCCTGCTGGATAAAGCATAAAATTGGATAAATGTAAAGCCTTTCACTTTAGGTCCAAAACTTCAATTGCACAGCTTCAGAATAGGAGACAGAGCTTTGCAAACATCCCTATGAAAGAGATTTGGCGTTAGATATTTTCAGCTCAACAATACCAAAAGAGTGATGTAAGGGCACAAAACAAAACCCACTGCAAACTTGGGTTGCATTAATAGAGGGATACAGTCTAGATTGAAGAAGGTGATAGTAGGTCTTATTTGGACTGGCCAGGCCACATCTGTAGCATGTGTTCAGTTCTAGACTTACATATCAAGAAGGGCATTGACAAATTAGAGAACAGTCAGAAGATGAGACCAGAGTGGGAATATAAAGAATGATTGAAGAAATGAAAACTCTTCAGCCAGCAAAAGAGAGCAGTAGGGGGCTTCATTGAGCTCAGAGACTATTGGAGATCACTTTTTCCAGTGCTTATGGTGGTCCAGACACGTTCACATATGTTATCTGATTTGATTCTCACAGTAGCTTTGAGAGGTAGAATTATCCCAATTTACAGTTGGGGAAACAGAAGCTCAAAAAGACTCTTAGTAACCTACTCAAGGCCACATAACAGGTAAGTGGCAGAGCTGCAATTTAATCCAAGCCTGAATTCTCCTTATACCAAGCTGACTTATAGAGCTTGGCTAGTCCAATCTTCCACCCCAGACAGAGTGTCCTGAGGGAGCTGTAGTGGATTGATGGTTCCTAAATTTTCAAATTTCACAGACTGTGGTGGTTATGTTTGTGAATCAACTTGGCTGGGCCTGGATGAATGGCTGAGCACCTGGTGGTAATTATTCCCCATGTTGACTGGCAATCAACTCCATGGTAGGATCTACCACAAGCAGCTGAGCAGCTGCCTTTGGGTATATTGTCTGCTTCCCATATATAAGAAGCAGCTTTGAGAATGGTCTCGAGCCTATGGAACACTTGGACCTTGCTTGTAGCTATGTTGTTCCGCAGCCTGCCATTCTCTGTCGACCTTGGGACTTACAACGGACTTAATAAATAATGGCCTGCCATGTGGTTTGGTAACATCGGGACTGTACCATTTTATTTGTCAACCTTGGGCTGTTCAGCCTCATCAGCCAGCAGCTGTCTGAGTGAAGAAATGCCTCTAGCTTTAGTGGGCTGGGAGCTGGACACAGAGCTGAAGCCCAAGGCTGAGGGGCTTTCACTCAGCCCCTAGAGCCTGGTACTATGAACTTGGACTTAAAGCCTCCAAATTGTAAGAATAAACTCCTGTTTGTTAAGGCTATCCCATTTGTGGTGTATTCCTGTCAGAGTGGCACTAAGTAACCAGAACATAGACCTATAGAATTTTTTTTTAAATTTTTTTATTGTGATTTGGGTAAAAGTCATTTTCCATACAGCAGTTCACACACACTTTGTCTCATGACATTGGCTGCACTTTTCCATAATGCAACAGCTCTCTTCCCACTTCCTCCCCATACTCACCTCTTTCCTGTGTCCTTCCCTCCCATGCACTCCTGCCCCCCCCAGCTGTCTCCCTGTGCATACACAGCCCTTCTATTTTCCCATGATTGATCTCTCCAAGGAGTGTATCTACCTAATGTAAATGTTCAGCTCATATGCCTGTCTTTTGTTTGGCTGGAAGCCACAGGAGTGGGTTCAATTCCAAACTTGAAGGGCAGCTAGAGGCCCTAGTCTCAGGGGTTCCACCAGGCTTTATCAGATCAGGAAACCTGGTCCCATATTTTTAATAATGATTTTGAGTTTTGTTCCACATTGTTCTCCCATTCTATCCAGGATCTCCTACATAGATTCCCCTCCCAGTGGTTGACAGTGGTAGCCAGGCACCCTCTAGTTCTTCTGGTCTCATACTCATATAGGCTGAGGATCGCGTGGTATACCAGTCCCTTGGACTGATTGTTTCCATGCATCTTTTGTTTTCTTCATTCTTCTTTACTCTGGATAAGGAGAGACCCATCCTTGCATCTAGATGGCTGCTTTGCAAGCTTTTAAGATCCTAGTCGCTACCCACCAAAGTAGGATGTGGAACAATGTTTTTGTGTAGCATGTCATGCCAATTGAGCTTGATGTCCCCTGCAACCATGGTCCTGTGTCCACAGGTCCAACTACTCGCTCCCTCTGGGCACCTGGCTGTGTCTAAGAAGTGACTACAAACTTGTCCTTTGTCAGCTTTACTATATACCTGGAAATTCTTACAGAATATACAAATACACTTGGAGAAACATTGTCTGTCAACTTTATACATGGTCATGGGCACATTGCCCCCTGCATAGACATACCTAATCCTTCAGCCTGTCCACTCATCTATCCATCCATATATCAATGTTTGCCATCACTAATGCATTACTGTATGTGCAAAAAGCTTCGTCTTTGTTGTCAGACCTATAGAATATTTTTTATGTAGTTTTTTTTTTTAATTTTATTTGTGATTTGGGTGAAAGTTTACAGAGCAAATTCACTTTCCATACAGCAGCCCACATACACTTTGTCTCATGACATTGACTGCAATTTCCCGCAAATTCCCCTCCCACTTTCTCCCCATAGTTACCTCTTCCCTGTGTCCTTCCCTCCCATGCACTCCTGCCCACACACACACCCCAGCTGTCTCCCTGTGCATACACAGTCCTTCTATTCTCCCATGATTGATCTCTCCAAGGAGTGCATCTACCTAATGTAAATGTTCAGGTCATATGCCTATCTTTTGTTTGGCTGGAAGCCACAGGAGTGAATTCCAGACCTGAAGGGCAGCTAGGGGCCATAGTCTCAGTGGTTCCATCAGATCTATCAGACCAGCAAACTTGGTCCCTTTTTTTTTTTAAGTGATTTTGAATTTTGTTCCACATTGTTCTCCCGCTCTGTCCAGGATCTCCTACATAGATCCCCCTCCAAGTGGTTGACAGTGGTTGCAGACCACCATCTAGTTCTGGTGACCTATAGAATTTTTTTAAGTGAAGAAAGGGACCCTCACAACATGGGAGCTACCAATTAACCAACTGTCCTCTTAACCAATTGAGGACAATATAAATAACAACAAATACCACCTACTATCAGCACCATTTTATAAAAGGCACTTGCAAATGCGTGCACTCACACACACACAATTATAATCAGAAACAAAATGGAATTGGAAATTGAATAGATCAGTCTTATGAAAATCTTACTATGTGTCCTTATTTTGCTCAAATCACTGTGGTCTGCTGAAAAATTTATTTTTGATTAGTGAGTTCCTAAGGACTTTTATGTTCTTTCTTTTCTGGGGTTTTCCCACCTCAACTCCCACATCTCTAGTGACAAGAGCCTCATTACCTTTCAAAGCAATTCATACTACAAAAATTGTTTACTCTTAAAAAGAAAGAATAATTTATTCTTGTTCTAAGACAACATTCTAAATGATGCTTTAAGAATTCTCTCAGGAGAATAGAGTTCTTGAGTTCCTGTAGTTGTGTGTCATATTTCCTCAACCTTCAGCACTTGATGTGGCCCTAACATCAAAGCCAGGGGCACCAGGTCTGACAAG